AGGTCACTTCTGGTTTTTTGTTTAAGCATATATATATATAAACCCTGTTACAAAACATTTCAGTCTGTACCTGATGATGCCTTTACTGGTGAAACCATGGCCGTAATAAATGATGTATTTGTGAAACATACAATTCTCTTGTTTTCCTATGGAGTTTCACCAAGTACTGATGGTTTCAAGTATCAATTAAATAAATTATTACTCAATGTTGAATTTACTTCAGCTGTAACAGATTAAATAAAATTATTACGTGATATCAGTTGTTGTGATGGATAGTGGTAAAGTACTTTGAATTAGGATTAAGTCATTGGCACGTAAACTTTCCTTGAGGAAGAAAAACCATATACATCTTTAGAACGTATGCTGACAGCTATAAACCATTCCCCTACATCCAATATGGACTTGTGGATTACACACACCTCCATGTATCTAATGAGAAAATTGAACAGAAAAAGCTAATATTCTAGTGATCATGGACAAACAGGAATATAAGACAAAATTGGATGCCATTCTATCGGACAATAGCAAGTTTAAGAGGATTAGAGCTGACCCGACAAAAACACTAAAAACAGACGTTAATAAACTGATTGCCACTGTTAACAAACAAGCGAAAGAAAAGGTTCTCCAAACTATCATAGGAGACTCTCCGCCTGGATATATCTATGGAACCGTAAAAACTCATAAACAGAACAACCCTCTACGGCCAATCATATCACAAATTCCTACCCCTATATACAAGACTGCCAAAGACCTAAACCACATCATCACTCCATATATGCCTGCCCAACACATGCTAACATCTACAGACGACTTCCTCCACTTACTACACGCCACAAATCCACAGGGACTACTCGCCTTCTTGGACGTCGAATCATTATTTACCAATGTACCAGTCCAGGATACGATAGACATAATCTGCGACAACGTTTACAGACACCCGACCATGTCTCCGCCCAAAATACCTGAAAAAATAATGCGTGAACTCCTACTCGCCTGTACTACGAGGTCACCTTTCCGACATATTGATGGTTCGCTATACCAGCAAGTCGACAAAGTTGCCATGGGCTCTCCTCTTGGAGTAACTTTCGCCAACTTTTACATGTGTCACATAGAAAACCAAGTGCTGAAGGACCACCACCCCGCACTGTACTGTAGATACGTCGATGACTGCTTCATCGTTACCAAGGACACCAATGAATTAATGAGACTCCGACAAAACCTACAGGACAACTCTGTGTTTAAATTCACCCACAAAATAGCCACTGACAAAACCATCAATTTTCTGGATGTACATATCGACGCTAACAACAGCACATACGCCACATCTGTCTATCAAAAACCCACTAGCCAGGGAATCTACCTCAATGCTCAGAGTGAATGCCCTCAAAGAATCAAAACTGGAACCATCCACGCCCTCATCCACCGTACCTACAAAATATCTTCAGATTGGAATCTATTTCACAACAGAATTGCTACACTCCGACAAACATTCATCAATAATGGATATAGTAATACCACATTCGACAAGACACTTCAACGATACCTGGACAGCCGCCAAAAAAACACCACTACCGACAACTCCACTGAACAACTCAAAGTCTACTATAAAAACCAATTCTCCACTGCATACAAGACAGACGAACGGATTCTAAAGGAAACAACTCAAAGTCTACTATAAAAACCAATTCTCCACTGCATACAAGACAGACGAACGGATTCTAAACCAAAGAAACAGAACACAAAACTGCAACTCAACATCTACAACAAGTCTACCACAACGTCGGACCTTATCGTGAAAAACAGCCCTGCTAAAAAGACAACAGATCTACAGCAAGTGAACGTCATTTA